CCTTTCTCTCTCTTTCTCTCTCTCTCTCTCTCTCTCTCTCTCTCTCTCTCTCTCTCTCTCTCTGCTTTCCACGCCCCGTTGCTCTTCAATCTTTTCGCGTTGAAATCTTTTCAGGAATCTCTGCTCTTTGCGAATCGTCGAAGAAATTTTTCTTCGACGACTCTAGTCACCGTATCGATGATACAAGATCGTATATCACAAATGTATCATACGAGCATACATTGCGAAAAAACGGCAAAATAATTTGTTAAAGATCGCAGTGCAAGAAATTCAAGTTTGCGGAAGAGTTTTTAGTATATAGATATCGATGTATCATATCATTTGAAAGATGTCTGCGTCGACGAATTTACGCAAGAAATTTTCAATAACTTGTCGGAAATCCTCACACTCTCGTTGGGCGAAAGCGAACGTGTACTTGACAGAAATTAGTAATCCTTAATGAATGACGCGACACCGCAGGCTGGTTCATCCCGTCCCACTATAGATTCCGTTCTTCCTTGGTCTTAGACTTAAGGCTGGGAGCTATTCAATTAATTTTAGAAGACAATAGTAGCTGACTTCCACATCGGCGAATCGTGCTTGTACGAGTTTCGTACACACTCATTACATCGTTAAATCCGCTACTCCATGTCGTTTGCAGAATATTCATGTGATTATTTGGGAAAATAAAACATGAATCCGTCTAATCATTTTATTTCGTCTTTTTACAGCTCGTTAAGAATTTTGTTAATCCGCAGAGATAACTAAACAAAACTTATTGTAAAAAAAAATAAAAGAATAAAAAGATATGACTATACTAACTATATGGAGTTTGCTGATAGAATTTATAATTACATCCTTCAAATTTATATTATATAGGATTAATTTATATAAATATTCATCTATTTCATTTGTAATTGAGATTGCAAAGGGTAAAAATAAAAAATAAAGAGTGGGCGCGATATGGCAATTACGTATAAATTAGTATAATACATATACAGGGTATCCGGAAAATCGAGGTCAATACTTCGGGAAGTGATTCGGGAGCTAAAAAGGAGGAAAAAATACTATATAAATAGGTCCGCGGAAATAAGTCGTTTCCGAGTTATAACCACTTTTATGTTAAAAAATTGAAATTTATTTTTCATTATAATTATAATCATAATTTATTTCACAGTGTTTCAACATAAATAACTAATATAGAGAAACAGGGCAATAAGCCAATAAATTAAGTTAAAAACCTTTTTTTAAAATTAATTTAATATTTACAAAAATTAGTTAGTTTAATTTAATATATTGCGAAGAATATATCACGTAATTGTGGCGTTCGTCCCAGCTTCCACTACTGGACTCGCATCAGTAAAGCATTGTAATGGAAGACTACCTTATACGCCTGTAAGAGTTATTCAATCGAGATTCTATGAAGAGATATACGCGTATCAAAGCGCTTGCGAGAATTTGCGAATATCGATAGACCTCTGATAGCGGGTCGACGTAGTAGTATTCTTCGCAATATTTATCCAAAGTAATATATGTATTTCCCCCCCCCCCCCCCCCCAACTTGCGCGCCGAACAATCGTCGGTCTTAATAAATAACATGCTTGATTTTTTTTACTTTTTATTTTTAATTTTTTGTAAATATGGTTACTGCATTATTTTTAGATAAACATAAACGGACTAAGTAGAGAGAATTAAATGAAATGACCATCTTCAGGACGAATGCAGGCCATTATTCTTCTATCAAAGAAATTCTGAACTCTTTGAAAAACAGTTGACTCCCTCCTTATTTCTTCAAATCCATTCTTTGTCTTAAGTCAGCAATATTACTGGACGTATTTCTGTAAAATAATGACTTTACGTGACCTCATGGATAAAAATCAAGTGGATTCATATCTGGTGATCTTGGGGATCAGGCAAACGGACCTTCACGCCGTATCCATCTCTGGCCATAATTCCGATTCAAATGATTTCTCAATATGGACCCATATTCTGTACACGTCTACCGACAGTTATCGGTGTCGTTAAGTACCGCGAGCCAATAAGAATCGCACTTTTCTCCTAAAACAGTCTCTGCTATCGTTAATTATCGACACCAACAACAATTCGGAAACGACTTATTTCCGGATCTATGTTTATATAGCTTTTTTTCTTCCTTTTTGGATCCCGAATCACTTTCTGAAGTATGACCTCGATTTTCAAGACACCCTGTAAGTGTGATCAATTAAATCGCGCATCATTTAATCCGAGTATCCGCGGCGAAGTATATATCCATATCTTTTATCGACGCATACAGAATCACCAAAATGACGACAACCACAGGCGACCCGTCAACCCTAAAGACTCCGGCTTCTCTGTCGGGTGGAGATCTCGTTTCTCGTCTTCTGGCGGCCACTCCTCCATATCTGTACAACGTGCCATTGACGCCTCACAGCTTCTTCTTCAGCGAGATGCTACGCTCCTTCGTACAAGCCAAGGCGGAGGCATCGTCGACTGGTGGCGGTGGTGGTGGCGGTGGCGGTGGTGTTGGAGGAGGTACGCCAAATGCACCACGACGCCGTAAGCGATCTTGGCGAGACGCTCGGGACAGACCGCTCGAACTCACGACGAAGGAACGTCCACATCATCATCATCATCATCATCATTATCATCAGCATTCGGACAAATACTATCACTCGGTAGCGCAGCAGCAACAATCATCTCCTCAAGTACCGCCGGAGATTCGTTTGGAGAACGATGGCAAACGCCCCGATGCCTATCTAGACACGATGGAGACCAAAGCCGCCGGCGCAACATTCGACCAGAAACCTAACTTTGGAGGCGATATCCTTAAACCCATTGACGAAAATAAGAGCGAGTTTTCGCGACAACACGGTAAGAGCTTCTTCGATGAACGACCGCGACACTTTGAGCAGGCTCAACCGCCGGAGAACGTTTTTCCTGGCGGAGAACCGCGGAAGATCAAGCCGGAGGATTCGCAGCAGTTAGATCGTAGCACTGGTAGAAGTTGTAATTTTGACAACGGTAGAAGTTACTCGGAGGACCGCTCAAAAAGCATCGTACCAGGAGGTCAGGAGGTGTCGTCAGCCTCCTTGCAATTGTCAGATCAGAAAAAGTTGGACTTTTCACGGGCAGCGGCAGCAGCAGCAGCAGCAGCAGGAGGAGGAGGAGGAGGAGGAGGAGGAGGAGGCCCTTTCCTATCCGGTATGCCGGCTGGCAGAGGATGCGAGAACGTGCTTCAAGGCGTGAAAGGTTTCGCTCTGCCTAGCGGCATGTCCGGCCCGGCGGAATTTCTACCCGGACCTCTCTGGTACCCACCGTATCCGATGCCGCAGTCCTACCCCGGCATCGATCCCCTACACTTCTTCATAGACTTACGCGTCTCCGGCCATATTTGGGATCGCAAGCACGCGAGTGAACGGCAACTATCTTTCAAGAGCAAACATTGCTCGGCCTTCAGCGTACCGCAATCCAAGGAGTGCGGGAATCGCCCGTTGAATCTTACCCGCGACGAGGCCACCACCACGTCAAAGAATTCTCCAGACGCGGAGAACACGCAGGGTACCAATTATATCTTGAAGCATCTCGTGAAAACGTACCAGGACATACAACAGATGAAGACCTCCGGGACGGACGCGTCGATAGAGAACGAGGACCATTCGAAGGAAACGACACAGCAAAGTAGGATATATCGAGGCATATTTGCATTTTTACCAACTTTTTTCATCTCGACACAGAATTCAAACACACGCCGCACGCTTTTCTTCTATAATAACACTTCTATTTCTTTTATTAATATTGTCAATTATTTCACGAGATTATTTTCAATTAGACTGCAAAATTTTGTTGGCTAATACACACAATGTTATTTTTTTTCCAATTCATGCAGGATCGGTCTACTTTGTTGTCTGCGTCTACTATCGCAGCGATATATGTATTTTATAGTATTTTATAAGATAATAAAAATATATTTATTATCTTTATTGGTGAGTGTTTCCTGCTATAGAGATTTTTAAGAGCACACACTTGTTTTTTTCTTTTTTTACTCGTCCAATACTCTATTGTGCTATTTTAGAATAGGCATACGTCTGCGATAAAATATTCGTAATATCGTAATGGTTTTTCAAGCTGGCGAGGATACTACGAAGGTAGAGGATCCTGACAGCAGTACGGTTACGAATTCCGAAGAGGAAAGAAAGGATTTACGGGCTCTGATTGGTCTCGAATTAGTGGTGGACTATGTGAAAGAGCCGACGAAGGATGATTCATCGACCGAGCAAACGTCTGCACAAATAACGGAATAACTTACCCTAACGAACGGGATTTGTAAAGGAATGCGCGCCTTCCACCTTAATCACTAAAATAGTCGTAGTGTACGTTGCTATTGTGTATAACACCTTCGAAACTGCACTCGATGCGACGGCATATCCTTTTGCCGTAATATAAATATACATATATAGTGTACCTCAGACAAGATAGGATTTGCTGGAGTGTGTGTGCGCAATAAGAGTAAGAGATATTGCACTTATGTCGCAGGCACGCAATGTGTGATACTATGGACTGATTCGAAAGATATTCTCATTGAATATTATTCTTGCAAAAATATATATTTCTTTCCAGAAACATTTCTCTACTTTAGCATAGAGCGATATTATGTTTAAAGACATTTCTATAAAACTTTATCGCACTTTTACATTAAACATTTTTCAAATATCTGTCTTCCCCGCGCGATTTGATTCTGTACATTCGATTCCGAATCATCAAAAGCTATATATGGATCAATTCATGACTAAATAAGGGTCGTATTATCGGAGTGGAATAGCTGAGCACCGATGGAATTCGACATGTGATACATACTGTAAATATCATAATAGTATTCCGACGTATCTATATGTATCGATAGAAAGTACTCGTTGTTGTAAGTTGAACGTAATAAAAACAATGAGATTTAACTGCATAACGTTCGTTTCTTATCAATTCGCCGCGCGCTTCCCTCCCGTGAAATGAATGAACGTTTAATTTTAACGCGCGAGTTGCGCACTGTCGTGATTAGCTATGACGCGAAGTTCCAAGATCACTTCGCCCTTATTGTTACCGTTCAGTTTCATCAATTTCCGGCCTCCTTGCGGAACGAGAATGACGTTGTCGAAGCTGCCTCTTCTGGTAGCCGGTTCGGATAATCTGTAGTACGCGACTGCAGGTCGATCCATGTCCTTGCTCAATTCGACATACGGCTTTTCCGGTGCAGTGACGAGAGTGTATACCTGATGTACACTTAAATTCACTCAAACATCCATAATAGATAAATATGTATTATATACAGGGTGAATAAAAAGACCGGTGAAATGAAAGATGTGCGAAAAGTATACTTGAGACCTCTTCTATAGCTTTTATTTGTTTTACAATTTTAGATTATAGAATAGGATAGCTTGCGACTCTTTACTGACCTTTCTAGTCGGAGATATGACATTTTCGTTCTCGAGAGAATCTCCCGCGGAGAAAGCCAGATCGAGATCGCGAGAAGCCTGCTGTTCGGTGATTGGATAAATCGCGTCGTTGTTTCTCGTACCGTCTAGATTTTCCAGGTAATAAACTCTGCCATCGGCATAGGTCGCAACACATACGGCAACACATACGAAGAGAACTGCGTTCTTCATATTCGATAGCGAATTTTCATCTGGAAGATGTAACACGCGCGCGAAGAGTCTGCGAGGGTAATGAAACGAAAGTTTTCGGTGTGCTGACAGATGCTGAACTCGCTAATCCGTGGATAAGGCGATTATATCGCGCCGTCGTGCATAGAAACAATTAATTAAACATGCATGATGTGTTTGCGTGGGCGAGATATTTCCGATGACGCGCCGATGACACTCGTCGAATCCCTCTCTCTCTCTCTCTCTGCTAAATAATTTCAAACCAAAGAAATACCAAGAGTGCATTCGCGACGTGCTATTTGTGTCGCATTTTATCCTTATTATTACGTTTTAATGAACGTTAAAGATATGAGAAAATAAGACACAAATAGCGCTGATAACGTCTTCCTGATTTCAAATTGAGAAAGCATTCATTTGTTATGTATAAGATGCGCTAGAAACAAAGGGTGATATATAGCGATCGTTTTGAATAAATAAAATAAGGGACCTTTTTCTGTAAAGTGTTATCTTCGATGATGAAATAGGACTTTCAAACATCCGCAATTGTATAACTTTCACACATACTACACGGGTTAAAGTGTTTCGCACTGCACGTACACATCGAATCGCTGCTGTATCGTCTTTCGCTTCTTAAGGAGTCGAGGGGTGAGAGGTACACGCGCGTTATTGGGGCGCGACGAGAGATTAAAAAGGATTTTTTTTTTTTTTCCGAGAGGATCGCTTCCATTGCGACCGGGGTGCAGGTTGCATCGGTCGGGCCCGGGTCCTGAATAATGCATGAAATTTGTTCCCCGGAATCGAATCGTCACCACCGGCGCGGCGCGGCGCGGCGCGGCGCGGCGCGGCACTACGACGGCCTGGCACGACGACAAGAGAGAGCGGGCATAAATCTAAATAATTTCAACCCTCGAATTTTTATTATTCCTATGACTGTGGTACGATGGCACATGCACGCGTGCACGCACACATCCGCACATTCCCGTGTCCCGTTGAATATGCATGCGCCACACTTGGCCGAGAGTGTCGGACCTTTGTGTGCAACTGTGTACGTCGCGTCGCGTTTCTTGCATCGACTCGTATATACACAGGCCTCGTACGTATACTCGTTAGCGCCGTGTCGTTACATCTCGCAGACAAGAGCGTAATGTCATATCACGAGGGTTTATCAATTCCGACGCTATTCCCGAGTGTTTGTCGGATTTATAAAACGCATTTTAAAACGTATATATAATATCATGCGTGTCTCTCTCGTGCAGTTTGAGAATCGATAACACATGTAAAATATATATGTTTCTAGATATAAAAAAAATATCAAGCGTCTTTTACGCTTAAAAAATATCTATTTGGAATACGAAATTTTAAATTAGCAATTTGAGAGCTTTTGTCACTATAACGCATGATTATAGTAAGATTTCCTTTCCATGCAACGTACATACACGTGTACGTACTATAGAGAGTAGTAAAATACCATTGAAGAAAAGCCGCGCCGCGCCGTATCTACGTCTGAAGGAAAATCTAATAACTGAATTTTTGAACGGAGAAGTTAGTCATTACTCACCCGGCGGATCGCGATAAATCACAGAAGGAATTAACGAGCGGCGAAGATGACACTTGGTCCCCTCCTCGTCCCGTCCTTTTCCTTCATCGTTTTCAGCCCCACCGGTGAAATATGGCCAGTAACTTTTCTCATACTTGAGAGAGTTTTCCTGAGCAGCACATCGCCCACCGTACTATATCGTTCTGAAGACTCGGGTGAAGACGAGGGCAGGGGGAAGTTATCAAGTGCTCGCGGGATGAGTGCTATAAGGTGAGACACTAGGTGAGGGGAGGAAAGGAGCGATACACCTCTTCGTAATGTTGGTACGAGAAAGAAGCGATCGAGAGGACTCTTCTCCTCCTACGTATCATCGTATCATCACTTACCTTTGCAATAATTGTCGCTTTTAAAAATTATTATTCTTATCGTTATACGTAAAATCAAGGATAACTAAAAAGAGACTCTTTTAAAATAATTTTTAAATTCTCAAAATGATTAACTCGATCACGAGAAGGTTTTTAGTCTCGTAAGGATGATAATAAAATTTGCGATACACCATAGATATTAATTTCATAAATCTTTATTTTTTCATAATACTGCGCGATTTCGATATTTTTTCAACTATTCTTATTCTAACCGTGTAAGACGTACGTCTCGCATAACAATTTTATTTAAAACTATGATACAGCATTTCTACTATTTAATTTACATGGCTAATCTTTACAATCTCTATCAAGATCTTTTCTTTGAACAATTTAAACGTTCAACGGTTTATATTATCATATTGGTTATTTACAGAAGCGTGTACGGTCGATCAAGTCGATAGTGCACATATTGTACGTTTAATGAAAGAAACAAAATTAAATGCTGTTTCAGCATCTAATTCAATTTGACAAATCAAGGAGTCGAATTGTATAAATCTTAAATCGAGATAATACATTTAGAAAGGGAGAAAATTTGCGTACACGTGAGCGACTGAAAGAATACTCAACGATACTGGCACATTCCGTCGATTCCAATTACAAATTTCTAATCGCGCGAAACTGCGATACAACAAATGTGGTAGAAAACAGCGAACGGTCCTTTCATCGCGGACGCGTGAATTCTATGAGTATTTGGCAGTTGAGATTTCGACAAAACAAAACAAAGTTGTCTGCCTTTTATTAGACTTGCGCGACAACTCTCTTGCAAATTTCGTCGGTATACTCGCTGCACTTTGCAGTGCCGCCTAAATCACCGGTTAAATACTTTGCTTCCTTTATAGTATCGTAAGCAGCCTGTTCGATGATCTTGGCATGGTTGCTCAGGCCCATGTACTTGAGCATCATCACCGCGGAGAGCAACAACGCAGTGGGATTCGCCTTATCTTGACCGGCGATATCGGGTGCAGTTCCGTGTACCTATATAAAATTTATCATTTTGTTAAGCAATATTAATATACGATTAATGTAAAATTTTGTGTTCACACACACGCACGCACGCACGCACGCACATTCACGAATAAAAATGACTATACCGATTCGAACAAGGCACCGTTTAGACCAATGTTTCCGCTTGGTGTCAGCCCAAGGCCTCCGACGAGTCCAGCGCACATATCAGACAAAATATCACCGTATAAGTTAGGCATGACGAGCACGTCGTACTGACTTGGATCCTGTACCATGTTTAGGCAAACTGTATCCAAGTACCTCTCCTCGAATTTGACCGATGGAAACTTTTGTGCTGCTTCTCGACAACATCTCAAGAACAAGCCGTCCGACATTCTCATGATATTCGCTTTATGTACAGCAGTAACCTGTAACAGTTACCGGATTTTAGTCAATGTGATTTCAGTCAAACATTTACCGATGTTTTATCGTTTGAAAATACTTTGAGTGTACCTTTTTCCTATTATTGTCTGTAGCATATTGAAAGGCAAATTCTGCTACCCTACGAGAAGCCTCTTCTGTGATTAACTTAATAGACTGAACGACGCCTTCTACAATTTCATGTTCTATACCAGAGTATTCACCTTCTGTATTTTCTCTGATAGTAACAACGTCGACATTATCGTACAACGTCTTGTATCCTTCCAAAGATCGGCATGGTCGCACATTGGCGTATAAATTAAATTCTCTGCAAATATTTGTAAACAGATAAGTAAGACGTGTGTATTTTACTTTCCAAGAGAGGTAATGTAAGATATTTAAAACAATCGCCCGCGTGCTTATCGTGACATTATGATTATGTAAGCATGCGTGCATGCATTATTTTAGGCAGCTGCACTATTTTAAAAATTCAACAGATATATGCTCGTGGAATTAATTTAAATTGAGCATATATATACTTGGTTGCACACAAATTCTAAAATTCCTTACTTTCTGAGTGCAAGATTGAGAGATCTGTGGCCTTTTCCAATTGGAGTCATTAAAGGTCCCTTAAGACCGATTTTATTCCTATTGACAGAATCGATAGCTGCTTGTGGTATACCAAACTTGCCATCTGGACCTTTTACTGGTGTTACATCAACTGATTCCCATTCTATTGGCACCTGGTTTTTTTTTTTCAGATAAATTAAGAAAAAATTATTGTAAACAATAAAAACAAGTATAGGAAATACGTTGAAGTCAAAATGCATATAGTAAGCATTAGGATATTGAAGTAAAAAAACTAAAAATGTATATATTTACATCAATAATATGTTCAGATAAGAGTATCAAGTGCTTACTATTAAGAAATTATGAATTGAGTAATCATGTTGTGCAAACTGCCAAGTCTTGTGATAATAATAAACTAATCAGTGATAAAAAAAGATGTTTTTAGTCGAGGGAAAAACATATCCTCTTCTAATTACTCAAGTCAGACGAGAGCGTACAAAACAAAGATCCAAATACAGAATCGTTTGACATAATAATAATCTGTTATGTATATATATCAAATATATAGAATATATATAACTTGAAGGTAAACTATAGCTTAGTGCTAAAGTACAATGAAATTTCATGAATCAAGCATATTGTTGTAACAGTAAGGAATGAGTCAGTCTTGTAGTATTAGTCAAAACACAAATTATCTCACCTTGGCAGCGTCGAAGATTTTTTGTACAGCAATAGAAATCTCGGGTCCAATGCCATCTCCAGGAATAAGAGTGCATTTGTGTACCTTGCTGCTATAAAGCCGCGCACCGGTGATTTTTGAAGAGATCTGTTGGCACACGTCACACATATGTGATTTAAACAGATGATAGAAATGAGTACAGAAGTCCAGCAAGACTATTCTCTTGTTGATCTTTACGTCGCGACTTTATAACCACGTAAATTATTTCAAAAAGACTCACCGAAATTATACAGATAAGAATAATATCCGGTTCCTCAGTGTATAGAGGAGAGAATGATAAAGGTGGAAAGCCAGACAGAATTAGAACATAAAGCTATATCACAGAGGAACAGTGACAACAGTATGGAATAGATAGATGTGTGGAAAGAGAGGGAGAGAAAGAGACAGAAGGTATATACGTAGATAGGAGACGTAAGAGCAAAGACGAGATGGAGGACGATATGTACTATGCAAGGAGTTCTAACCTTTCTCAGGGAGGTAGGTAAGAGAACGTATAGAGGTGTGGAGTAGTAGTTACGCACAACAGCAGTTCCTTGGATAATTTCGCGGACAGTGCGACTCGGCGCCTACTTACTGCTGTACGAATCCACTGAGCTGCCATCACGCCGACGGTGATCGATGCTAACAGAAAGATATGTGGCTTGCTCACGTCCGCTCGCAACTCGCCGAACTCGCGCTCTCTATTCTGCTCTATTCGCATAAATCGCACCAAGTTCGCGTCGTTCGCGTCGTTCGCGCACGGCGCAGTCTCGAATCCCTCGAATCCAAGAAACGCATCGTGTCGTGTTCTGTGATTGGCCGTGTGAACGCGGGACTAGTAATTCTTCATTACCTGCTCTCGCATATACCTTCTTCGCACATATTTTGACAACAAGGTGTCCTCTGATGCTTTCTGAATGTTTATACTTTACACGTGATACGCATGAAGCGACAAAAAATCATTTTACACCGTGAATATTGTTATCTCGTTATCTAATAGGATATCAATAGGGTGCTAGAATAATAATGCAAATCGAAAAGACACGATTGAATCTCATCTTTTTTTAATTAAACATTAATAATGAAAATGTTGATTAAAGCGATAAACATCTCAAGTTCTCAAGTAAATACATACACGTAGGCAATAAATTCTATATAAATATATGTATAAATAATAGAATTTATAATATTTATGTAGGTGGTGATTCTTCAGACTTGTTAATTTCCGTTTCCATGCTCTTGTGTTTTTTCTGCTTCACGTCCCACAAACTGTTCCTCACAAATCTCTTAGCAGCATTTATATCGACATGTGGCATAAGTGTATTTTTATCATTGATTTGTTTCGCTCGTATCATCGCTTTTTTCAGTCTCTCATTTTCTGATCTAATTCGATGCTTGGATGGATCGATTCCTACAATCAATAATAATTTAATCGTCAATATGTATAGGTCTCCCTACACGATCAGTAATACTGAGTCAGTATTACTGATCAGTATTACTGACAGTATGCATTAGTTTTTATAATTTTATACGATCAGGTATTATTGATAATATTTCACTTCAGTTTGACGTGATTTGACGTATATATTATTATCTATTATTATTATCTATGGTGACATGGATCTTAAGGATAAAGCATGTATTTGAATCCAAATCATCGTCAGTATTCTACGTCAATCCATTAATATTAACCACACACAATCAATATAATATTGTCAGTATTCATTGTGATATTGACAATATTACTGACCGTGTACAGAGGCCTTATGATCTAAATTAGTTATTTGACTTATATCTTTTGAAAATAACAATTCTTACATACCTTCGGCTCTCAAGTACATCCAAAATAGACTATTAAGACTGTAAGATAACAATAAGTGATATTTAATTTTATCTGTATTGGAAAGTTTATCGAGTAGCGAAGGATCGCTAACCAAATCCACCATATCCTGGATTTTGAAGGCTGTTTCGCTCAACTGCTTCAGTCTAGCAATTATGTTTGCATCATGCGAAAGTTCTTCAAAATCAGCATCCATTTCTTTCGTCAATTTATCAATATAAAACGTTCAAGTTGTCCTTCTTTTTACAAACAACGTTCAATGTTATCTTTCAAGTGACAAGCAGTGATGCGATTTCCAACCCGCTTGTGGGGGCTAACGTGTCTGACGCCAACGATAATTCGCTGAAGGCGAAATGGAAAGGCGGGAAAATGCTTAGTCCACAGTGAAAGGTTAATCACTGAATCTGTCTCAAGTTTAAAGATAATTTATTACAGACTCAAATGAATATGCTAACTCGTGTAGACGTGATCGCGTGCGTATGGCATTAATAATATAACGGTATCGCAAGATCGGCTATGAAGAAGAAAAAGAAGAGAATTTAGAAATTAATGACAAAATTATTGTCTAACGACATGAACTGTTAAGACCTCACGACGTAACTTAAAAAGGAACATAATACTAAACAAAGCGCTACTTACAATTTATCGCCGTGTCTTATAAAAGGTATACATGACATGACGCACGCAATACACTGGAGACTGGGAGCTTTGCTTGTATCTCTCTAATCAACGAGTATATTCTAGAGAGGAAACCGAAAAAGAACAGACTGAGCACCGCAGGTAACGCCTGCAACGCCATACAGCCCTCGATGGTAGCGCCATCGGTCGGCGGCCTGACACAACCTGTAGCACACATACAAGTACGTAGCCTTATTATTATTTATTTCTAAATTAAATAACTGGTTAGGCAAAGAATTTGTCTCTGTTATTTTTTATATAGTTATTGTAATATAAGTACACATATACAACTTTATTACATATATCTGTATTATAAATTGCATTAACAATCATTTTAAATAATCTATCATCACACATTAAATCATCTTTCCTATATGTTCTTTTTATATAAAATTGAAATCCATTTACGACGGAATAAAAAAAAAGAGTACTAATAGATACGTATCACTAATATAGAGGAAAATGGAAATTTTACGAATTTATTTCTTCGAGTTGCATGTAAAAGTCGCGCTACTAGAAATTATACATCATCACAGAATCAAGGTACGATCGTTCTAGAATTGTGTATGCGCAACCTTCTATATGTATAATGTATATGTACATGTATGTGTTTAAAAGTTTAAACGATCACTACTGATGACAGGGATGACAATAATGTTGTACGTACGAGTTCAAGTCAAACGAAGATCTAAACGGACACACTCTTTCCCTCCCTTCCTTCCCCCCCTCCTCCTCTGACCTATTCTTTGAAGTTTAAATTTAGCATCCGTTCTGTCATGAATGTTTGGGCGGATAAATTCAATGGCGTATATATCGCAGAAAACGCGACGATTGCTGTCAGTTATTTATGTGTGTGTATGTTACAGCACAATGATACGTAAATCTAACATGGGCTATCTGCTCGCAATAAAAAATTAAAGCAAGACTCATATTAATGCGATTGTTTCTGCTTGTTTCACAAGCAAGTCATAATTAAAAATTTATATAATAATATTATACGCTATCCTATGATAAGGATATTATCTACAAGTTCTATGGGACTTTGGCACGCTATCCTATTTATATAAATTGAAAGAATGTTATTATAAATTTATATACTGTACTATTACAATTATAGAATGAGAGAGAAATAAAAGATGCATTAATTAACAATTGTCGTATGAATGATGTCATTAATTAAGATGCTAAATAACTTAGAATAGATAATTTTATGAGTATACATAAGAAAAAATGATACAGGCAAATACAAAAGTATATTACATATTTTGTAGTGTAATTCGTTCCTATGTATAATATATGTTAGGTAATATTCCGGCAGTCATATTGTGTAAGATCGTTTCAACCTCGCTTTAAGAGGCCCTAAGCCGTAAGAAATTGGCCAATCATAGTTGAATGGGAGAAAAATAATCGACTGTGATTGGCCTCTTAAAGCGAGGTTGTGGACCCAGCTTAAGATATACACAATAAATGCTATCGCTAACTCGATCTCGGATGGAGTTTTCGCAGATTAACTCTGAGTAAAAGATCAGATTAGAAATATGTATTTATATCGCTCAATGTGCGTGCGTGCGTCATCTCCAAGAGGCACAATAAACTACAGCAAACTACTCGCGTAGGACACGAGTATATCTTATACGTCGCGCTCTGCGTGTTAATTCGTTGAAAGTTCAAACTTGCGTTTCGCTACCGGAATGATAATGTTTCCGATGTTTCCGATGCTTCTTATGGTTCCTATGTGCAGGCAATTGCGAATTCGGTAACGTTGCATGCTGATGCAAGAGAGGATGCTGCGGCGGCGTGAGATGAGTGAGGTGGTGAATCTGATGAGGTATGGGAGTATTGGCAGCGTTGTAACAGTGTACGACGGGCACGGGATGACACTTATGTGGCGGTTGTTTGCAATGCGGCAGCTTCCGGCACGCGTTCGATACCTCCGGCCACCAGATCCACGCGGCGGCCATCACTCCGGCACCGAGGCTCACTACTAATCGTAGGACGAAAACTTGCAACAGAGGTCGAACGGGTGGACGAGGTGCCGTTGACGGTTCCGGTGCTCGAAGCCACGTATCCCTTCCCCACCATTCGTAGAAAGTCGTACTGGCGAGGCAAATAATGAGGGTGGCGTAGAGACAACCGAATACACCGACGCGAGTCAATAGCTGCTTCTGCCGCCGGTGAATTTCCCCTGGGGATGATTTGCTGGAGATCTCACGCTGCGAACGCAACGGATTAGCGTGGGACGCCGTTAACGCCGTTAAAACTGCCGCTGCCGCTGCCGCCGCCGCCGTCGACGAAGACGATGAAGTTGACATCGACGTTGACGTCGGTGTCACGGCCGGACGCCGTGGTAACACCAACGTTGCCAAGCCAATTAAAAGGAACGTTACGCCGAACGATAGATAGACGAATTGCGGTGCTAGTACTAATACGAGAAGGGAATGCGCGTTCTGTTGACCGACGAAACAACTCGCTGTAACACAGAAAATTTATATCGTGCTGCGAAATCTTTTCCAAAATGTCCATTTATACAGCCCCCGGAGGCGGAGGATTGGGGAACAAGATTAGAAATTATTGGGAGATATGCAATTTTAATAAAAATTGCAATTGCGAAACATGTTATACGATCATTTAAGAAAATATAAATACAAGACTGGTATAGCGATCTTAAGACCTCTTCAAGTATTAAGATGCTCCCTAAATATAAAAATCGACTGTGTGAATACCAGCCTAATAATAAAAAGAACATTGATACGCGAACATATTCCTATAGACATTGCGCACCTTCGGATGTTGCCCGAAAAAAGTATACAGTCGTTAAAATCTATTTTTTTTTTCCAACTTCTCCGATCTAATAATTAGATGTAAATGAAGCGATGTAACCTTTTTTTTTCTTCTAAAAATAGAGAAGGCGAGGATTTTGGTTCTACTTTTCACGTGTTGGGAAAATTTTTATTTCGCGAGGGGGAGAATGCGGCAGATTCTGCTCCAACTGACGGTGGAGCGCATCGCTGACATTCCTTTCGCGATCCACAAGTTAACTGGATCGACCTAATTTCGTTTTTTTTTTCTATTATCCACGAACACACAGAGACTGGAAGTATATATATAGCACAAAGAGAAACATCGAGCGCGAAATAACTAAGAGGTACGCGCATATATCATAAATGAGTTTAGAACGATTAAAAATAACATTTCCTAATATTTTTTAGTACAAAGTTCACGTGTACTGCGGTATTTATATCTGTATTATTCGCGTATTTACACATTCAAGAGTAAATACATAATGATTATGTATATGCGAATAATCGAAGGTTTTGTATCGCTACGATCCGAACTGCGGTCGTTTAATTCGAAGATGCTAATCTCGTGGGGCTGGTCGCTCTCGAGCATAACTTATCGTCGAGAACGTAAATACGAAAGAGCGCGCGCGGTGCGTTATTAGCATAAAATAGCCTCAACTGGACCTCACTCGAATTAAGATCGATGGAGGGAAGATGGCAAGGACAGATAAAGATAGGAATAGAGAGAGACGAGTAGGGATGGAAAAAACAATGATCGAAGAAGACGTATATATATATAGGAAAAGGGACGAACTCTCTGCAGGATCACGAGAATCCCGAGGATCCAACTATACGCCAATGGCGCGCAACCTCATAAAACAAACGGTATAACGAGGCGTGGCCGTAAAACCACTCCGGACATTCTTCTTAGAGGAGCAACGTACGCGAATTTTAAATGTTTTAATATCGCGCTCCATTGTGCGTATAGGCAGTTGAAAGTTCCGAAAGTTACAATTAATAATGACGACGTCAGTAACGCCGCGTCCATCAGAATGATGGGGAGTGATTTCGTAAAACACACCTTGTCCGAGGTGTGTTTTCTAGCAACTTATAGACTTACCAGTCAACTCGTCGGCATCGACATCCCTCGTGACCAGAACGGCGATAGTGTGTGCAGCAGGGAGGCCCCAGGCCGCGACGGCGGCGACGGTTGAGAATCCCTGCTGTAGTCCGAAACTATCCTCCTTGTAGTTGCCAGCCGTTCTCGTCCATTTTCTGGCCATTATGCACCACCACGCGCATATCACGACCCACCTGCGGTCCAAATCGCATAGCAGCATATAGAGGTAATATACTCGCGCGACAACAACGCGATTCGATTATTTAGTATAGATTCAATTCTATATACACAATTTTGATTTGATTTAAAGTAATCAAATCAGCTAAAAAGAAAGAGAAAAAAAAACGTAAAATGTCAAATATGCATGAAAAATTACAAAATGCGATGAAACTGTAAAGGGTGCAGTCGATGATGCGCGAATATGGAATTCTCGATCACGCGTTCCGAGAGCTTCTTCGATCGTACGGCCCTGCGAGTTTGCAACTCGAATAAATAAAAGAGGAAGGCAGGAAGAAACGCGCGCGAGGAGTCGAGAGGGCGGCTACAGACGGTATAGAAGGTAGAGAACGAGCACACAGCTCGTTGAGAGATCGAGTGAGATGGAGTGACGCGAGGCGGCCGAGTAAGTGTTTGCGCCTCGTTTGACCTGTTCGCGCTGCTTTTCGATCTTGTCGAAGAGAGAGAGAGAGAGAGGACTCGCGTGATTAATTAGTCGGCTTTTCACCGCAACCTCTACTCCCTCGGCGAACTGGTTGCGCCGCGCGGGGAGAACGGATTACAGGATTTACAGGCGCAGGGTGACGCGGCTGCACCGGTTGCACGTGCGTGTGCACGACCATGCACGAGACGAAGAAAGGCGCGTTCTGTCTCACGCGAGACCATACCACGCACCGCTGGACCATTGTTCGTTCCGAAACGGTTCTCATCAGCGAGTCCATTCGTTCAGCGGAACATAATCTTACATATCATTTGAAATCGATATACATATAAGACAATTAGTATGAGGACAAATGCGAGTACATCTAGAGACTTTGACGACGCGATTAGAAAAAAATAACGTCATGTTATAATTATTATATACAAAAAAAAATCTCATATCTATTTGAAAAGAATAATACGTGCGCGGTTAGCTATACGTCGACGAAATCCTCGTCTCGTGAGGTAGTCAACCTTCTCGAGTGTTTGCCCCCGCTATATATGTTATATGTACATACAGTAATATTTACCCAGTGAACAACGGTAGCCGTGTCTCTTGGCGCGCATCTACACGGATCTATCTAACCAACAGGTAGTCCGGCTCTCCCTTGCTGTAACGCATTGAATGTAACGAGA